AAAAAAAATAATTTCTACTCCCTATTGACATTCTCTATTTAGTGCAAAATCATTCTTAGCATTTCCTCTAGTGAGAGGCTGTGAGAGGAGTGAGAGGCTGAAATGCAAAGTTGTTCCTTAAACACATTTAAAACAGCTGAGTTAAAATTTTTGTTTAAGAAGTCCAATATCTAGGCTTCCTCGGGCATGGTTTCCATTAACTGCTCTTTTTGTCCTGTGTGTGACCATATATACACTTATTTTATTTATTTTATTATTTCATATCTAATATATTTCTATGGTGAGCTGAATAGTACAATGTGGGAACTCTGGAAATAATATTTCCTCACCCCATTCCCATCTTAGGTATTTTAGTTGTTGCTATTTGGTTTGACAGTATTTAGTAATTCTTGTGGACTAATTCTATGTACATTGGGTCTTCTGAAATTTCCAGAGCTATTCAAAGCACTCTGTGCACATCTCATTCCCCAGATTATCCTTTAATTTTTTTTTTTTTTTTTTGGTTACCTTTCTATTTACCTAAGGTAGCTATGATGTTAAACAATTGCCACTGGTTGTTTTTTCATCAAAGGTGCTGAGCAACGGCAGTCCACATTGGGCCATGCATCAGATACAATAGAGTTGGCTCATGAGTAGGATTTCCCAGGGAAGTTCAGACAAATAATGGCAATTCTCTGAGAATGGGGCTTAGAAAGAGCCTTCAATTCCATTCCGACTCCCTTCAGTGGCTTCCAGGGTGCTAGTTTTCACTCTTATTAGCAATTGTTGGTTTTCAATGCTATTGTGGAGCTGAGGAGACAGAAGGTTGGCATAGGGCAAGTTGAAAAGCCCCACAGCTCACTGTTCTTGAAATTTAGTTATTTTTCTTAAATACTCCTGGATTGTTGCAAGATTTCGGCTAATTTCAAGAGTTCTTACAACGTTGTTCAGTGTTGTTGGTGCGTTCTCAGAGAAGAGGATTGTGAAATGTACTTGCTACACCAGCCCTGATGACATCAGTCCATGTGAACTGTGTATGGCACACTGAATTTAGACATCGATCCTGGAGTGATTCAGAATCACTAGGAGATTCTAATGAGAATGGGAAAAGAACAGCAAGATGTTCATATCTGGGACACAGAAACACATCTGTAATGGTTTCCAATGGTGGCCAGAGGGGTGAGGGTGGAGCTGGCACCATCAGCAGTAAGGAGGCTCAGCTTCCTTGCTCAGGGTGTTGAACCTGCATCATCCTACCCACTGCTGGGGGACTAAGATGCCAACCAGGAGCTGCAGATGGTAACTTTCAATAGAGAAGAAAAGTGGTGGTTCCCTGCATCTGCATTTTTTATCCCTGTCCCCAGATAAGAAGCCAGCTGAAGGAAAGGCACTTAGGTGTCCAGAACCTGTGTTCAACTCCAGCCGCATTCCCCAGGAGAACCTTGACTTAAACAAAAAAAAGTTGCTGATCCTAGTGTCTTGGGTGGCTGAGACAGGAAGATCATGAGTTCAAAGTCAGCCTCAGCAATGGCAAGGTGCTTAGCAACTCAGTGAGACCCAGTCTCTAAACAAAATACAAAACAGAGCTGGGGATGTGGCTCAGTGGTGAAGTGCCCCTGAGTTCAATCCCTGGTAACAACAACAACAACAACAAAAAAATTCTATTCTGGTAAGAATCTAACATGAAATCAAATTATTATTAGTTATGGGTACAATATTATATAGCAGATCTCTAGGACTTATTCATCTAGTTTTACTGAAACTTTATGGCTCTTGACTTTTAACTCTCCAGTTTCTCTTCTCCTACTCTCCAGAAAACACCGTGCCACTCTGATTCCACTCTTTAGTGATCTACCTTCACATTTGACTGCTTTAAATACCTCATATAAATAGAATCATGCATTATTTGTCTTTTGGTGACTGGCTTTTTTCACTCAGCATAATGCCCTCAAATCTTATTTATATTGTTACATAATGTAGACTTTCCTTTTCTATGAAGGAGTAGTATTCCATTTTATGTACATACCACATTTTCTTTTTTAACACCTTTACTGAAATATCACTGCATAAATATTGGGTGTGTGTGGTGTACAACTTGATGGTTTGATATACACATATATTATTAACATATCTAGTTACCATCCTCTGTGTATGTACACGTGTTAATAAGATTGAACCTTGGAGCAAATTGGTTGAACTCTTAGCAAATTTTAAGAATATATTGTTAAGTCTCACCATCCTGTTGTACATCAGATCTCCAGAACATATTCAGCCTATGTAGCTAAAACTTTTACTCTTTCATCAACTTCACTCCATTTTCCCCTCCCTCCAGCTCCTGGCAAGTACATGGAAATGTGTCTAATTTAACTTACTGCAATGCCCTCCAGCTCAATCTGTATTGGCATAACTGGCAAGATTTCCTTCTTTTTAAGGCAGAATAAAATTCTACAGTGTAGAATATATATATCATATTTTCTTTATTTGTTCATATTTTGAGAGCACTTAGGTTGCTTCCACATCTTGCTTAGGGTGAATAATGCAATGAACATGGGAGTGCAGATATCTATTTGATATACTGATTTCATGTCCTTTATAAATACACCCTGTGATGGACAATCAGGTGGTAGTTCTGTTTTTAATTTTTTGAAGCATTTTCACACTGATATCCATAATAGCCATACTAATTTATATCCCCACCAACACTGTACAAAAGTTTTCTCTTCTCAATAACTTCACCAACATTTATCTGTTGTCTTTGAAAGCAGTCTAATAGGTATAAGATGATTTCTCATTGTGGTTTTAATTTGCATTACTCTGATGATTAGTGAGCATTTTTTTCATACACCTATTGGCTATGTGAAATTCTTCATTTGAGAAAATAGTCCTTTTAAGTCCTTTGCCCATTTTCAAATCAGTATGAATGGAAAGACTGGGTGGTAACTACGGGCAGGTGGGGCATGGCTGCAGGAGGTAGATCACTAAAGGCATGCCCTAAAAGGGTCATAACCCTCTGTAGTCCCTAAAGTCCCTTCTCACCTTCCCCTCTCTGCTTCCTGACCCCACTATGAGCTCAGAAGCTTTCCTTCACTGGGCCATTCCACCATGATTTGCTGCCTCACCTTGGCCCAGATCAATGGAGTCAGCTATCTATGCACTGAGACCTCTGACTCCATGAGCCCCAAATAAACTTTTCTTCCTCTAAGCTGTTCTTATCAGGTATTTTTGGTCACAGCAATGAAAATTTGTCTAAAATATTAGGCTTATGTGTGGTTATTGTTGTTGTTTGATTTTTGTTTGTTACCCATTTTTGTTTGTTACCCATTCATCTACTCTATGTCTTTTATGAAACTGATCCGTAAAGGAAAATGCAGAGACAAACACAAAATCTGTATTGCTATAATTGAGTAATGGGAATTCCTACTGTGTTGCTGTTTAGCATTCTTGCATTTCTGTTTAAGAACTCCATTTAGCATCAGCCTATGGTTCTTGACATAAGATAGTATACTTTTTTGTGTCTTCAAGGGCCAATGACACCCAAAACCAAGAAGAACCAGCTTACCAAAAGCTGAAAAGGAAAGTGTTTTGGGCTCCACTCAAAACTATCTCCTACCTGAGTAGCATTTATGTAAAGTGTCCATCCCAAACAGGTGACATTCCACTATTCTAAGTGTGCTACACTTCAGCAAAAAAAAAAAAAAAAATATTTTTGAAAAGAATGTACAATGTAGAAAGATAAATACTTTTACAGAATGTTAAAAACATACAGACAAACTTTGGAGTCTGCAGCAAGCTGATTCACCTGAGAGATTAGCTTCTGCACCTGGAAAATGGGAATGACAGTCCCTACCTTCAAGAACGGTCAGGAGATGAAAAGTAGAATAAGCCGTCCCAGGACCCAGGCAGCAACTAAAATAATATTCAGCTATAATTCAGACATAGGCAAATCCTCAGCCCATAGTGTCCCTGCTCAGACCCAATTTTAGGGACAGAATTCTGACCCTCTGGTCAACACAAGAAGTTCAAGGGTAGTGAAGTAAGAAATGGGAGAGAGAACTCTAGCGTCATCTAAGAAGCCACAGCCCCTTCCACGTGGGAGCAGACTCCCTGCAGGACAGTTGCCTACCTAGGCTCCCTGACCTCACTTCCCCACTCCTCCCCTAACTATTATGATTTTCCAATCTCCTTCCCTACCCCTCCTCTCCCTCCCTCCACCATCTCCCGGCTGCTTCCCTCATCTCCTCTGCTCCTCTGTCATCCCACCACCGCCCCCAGCCTTTCCTCACCCCTGCCCATCTCCCTCTTCACCTCTACACCACAGGCCCAGCCCTACCTCACATTGTCATGCCTCTGGATGTAAATCTTGTGGAAAATCCTCTCAGGGGGCTTCAAGAAGTCCTCCTTCATCTCCATGGCAACATTCCGGGGAAGGAGGCTCATAAGCAGCCGCTCCTAGACAGGAAAGAAGGTTCACATCAGACAACATGGGACTCCCAGTTCTTCCTCAGACCATCCTGGATAAGGAAGGGTTAAAGAGCTGTCCTTCATGAGGAGCTACAGACCCTCCTCAGGCTTAGCCTACAAGCATCCAGGTCTGCAGACACTGCCCAGTTCCCAGAGCCTCAGTGGGTCCCACACCAGAACTGGACTTTGAGCCAATAACTGGCTCCAGGAATGCTGGCTGAGCAGGGCCTGGCCTCCTGAACACACAGCCCTGCCCACAGCCCCTGCACACTGCTCCTTGGGCCAAGATACTGAGTCTTGGCCTGCTGGGCTCTCCAAGCTTCAGTGTGCAGTGGGATCATGGCTGCAAAAAGACAACCATCTCTGACCTGAGCCCCTATCCAGACCCTCTTCGCAGCCTCCACAGCCCCAATTCAGTCCAGAAAGATTCCTTCATATTGCCTTTCACAAGTCACTCTTCCCAAGGCAGAGACTGGCCAGAACCCTTGTTCTGACATAGAGACAAAGCTTTGGGGGTTAAGTGGTATTTTCTCCTGGCCTTTGCCTTATTTCTCCCTGATCTATGGAGGTAAGGCATTTTTAAAAATCCCCCCCCCCAAAATAAAAAATGTTTGGGTTTTGTAAAAATCAGTAATAAATAGTATTAATTTTAGTAATAATCATTATTAACTATAAAGAATTGTGGGGTTTATTGTGATATATTCAAACATACTTAAAATCATTATTTGGTCAATTTCATGCTCAAATACCTTCCCCCCTCTCCACCTCCTGATCCCCTTCCTCTACCCTAATGGTCTCCTTTCTGTTTTCATGAAATCCCTCTTTTCCCTGATATTCCCTCTAACTTTCACATATGAGAGAAAACATGAGTCTCTTCTCTGAGTCTGATTTATTTCACTCAAAATTGTGATCTTCAGCTCCATTTTCCTGCAGATGGCATAATCTCATTCTTCTTTATGGCTGACTAAAACCCCATTGTGTTTTCTTTTTTCCATCCATACGTTAAGGGACACCTAGGCTAAGCCCTTAAGTTGGCTACTGTGATAATGTGCAGTATTATGCTCCATTGGTCTACCAATCTGTTTTTAAGTTTGTGCTGCAATAAATATGGGTACGCATGTATCCCTAAAGAATGCTGACTTTAATTCTTTTTGGATAAATAGCAAGAAGTAGTGGGCTGGGGATGTGGCTCAAGCGGTAGCACGCTCGCCTGGCATGCGTGCGGCCCGGGTTCGATCCTCAGCACCACATACCAACAAAGATGTTGTGTCCACCGAAAACTAAAAAAATTAATAAATATTAAAAATTCTCTCTCTCTCTCTCTCTCTCTCTCTCTCAAAAAAAAATAGCAAGAAGTAGTATAGCTGGATCTTATGATAGTTCTAATTTTAGCTTTTTGAGAAACCTCCATATTGATTTCCACAATAACTGTACTAATTTACATTCACACCAACAGTGCACGAGTTCCTCATCCTCCCCCTACCCTCCTATCTTCACAAGCATTTATTGTTAATTGTATTCTTGGTGACTGTCATTCTGACTAGAATGAAATGGAATCTCAGTGTAGTTTTGATTTGCATTTCCCTAATTGCTAAAGATATTGAACATCTTTTTCATAAAATTGTTGGCTATCTGTACTACTTCTTTTGAGAAGTGCCTGTTCAGTTCATTTGTCCATTTAATGATTGGGTTAATTGACTTTTGAATATTGAATTTTTTAGTCTTTGATATATTCTGGTTATCTATCCTTTGTTGGAAGAGTAGCTGACAAAGATTCCCTCCCATTTCATAGGTTGTCTCTTCAGTCTATTGTTTTCTTTGTTGTTCGGAAGCTTTTTAATTTGATGCCATCTCATTTATTGATTTTTTTTCTCCTATTTCCTGAGCCATATGGGTCCTATCCAGTAAATCTTTGCCTGCACCTATGTTGAAGTGTTGCCCCTATTTTTCCTTCTAATGCTTGCAAAGTTTCTGGTCTTATTCCTAGGTCTTGGATCCATTTTAAGTTGATTTTTTTACAAGGTGAGAGGCAGGAATCTATTTTCATTCTTCTAACACTGGATGTCCAGTTTTCCTAGCACTACTTCTTATAGAGGCTGCCTCTTCTTGTCACCTTTTCCAGAATCAGACAACGTTATCAGTGTGGGTTTGTTTGTGTCTTCTATTCTGATCCATTGGTCTGCATGTCTGTTTTTATGCAAGTATCCTGCTATTTTTATTACAATGGTTCTGCAGTATAATCTGAAGTCCAGGTATAATGATGTCTCCAGTATTGCTCTTTTTGCTCAGGATTGCTTTGACTATCCAGGGTCTTTTGATCTTCCACATGAATTTTAGGATTCTTTTTTCTAGTAAGAAAATGAATATCATTGGCACTTTGATAGAAATTGCACTGCATTTGTAGATTGCTTTTGGTAGTATTAACATTAACTAATATTAACATTAATAATAATATTATCAGTAAAATAATATTAATAAATATTAACATTAACTAATATTAATACTAATATTAACTAATATTAACAATATTAGTTCTGCCTATCTTATGTCTTCAATTTCGTTATTCCTCTGGGTTTCACTGGCTTTTGTTGTAGTAGCTTCTTTTTTGTTTTGTTTTGTGTTTTGGTCTCTAATTTTATTAATTTGGGTCTTCTCTTTCTTTTGCTTATTTCGGCTAAGGGTTCATCCTTCTTGTCTATGCTCCCCAAAAAGTAGTGCAGGAGGAGGGACAAATGAAGAGAAAACAAGATGAAGAAGGACAAATAGGAGGGTATAAAAATAAGAAAGAAGATAAAAAGGACTAAATAGAAATAGCGAATTTTTTGAAGTATGATTTTATATAAAAGTATGCAATCACAATAATGAAGGAATCAAAACTAATAATTACCATACAACTCATATCAAAACTATTATTTTTCTCCTTGCCTGGGTACATAAGGTAGAGAGCCTTTCTTTGAGGACTTCTGGATTAAGAATCTGTGAAGGACTGAGGGTATGGCAAATATTCAACCCACAGAAGCATGACTTCTGAAAGACTATGGGTGTGGAGGAGGTAATTGAATACACAGACTCGGTGTTAGGATGGGGCATGGAATCTTAACTTCTTCCCACTTCCAGGACCATATGCTGGTCTACTTAGTGGCTCTGTGTCAGGCCCGGATGCTGGAGATATGTCTGGAAGCACAAACATGATGGTCTGGTGATGTGTACAGCCCAGAGACCAAACCCATCATGCCGGTGGGGGCACTGCATGTTCATGGGGCAGAGTCCACACTTAGTACTCTTAACACAGTTCACATCCCACCCTTCAGCTCCACCAAGGAAGCCCTGAAAGCTCTGTTGTGGGTTCAGTGCACCCTGTCACTGCTCTGGTCCCACAGCAGCTCTGCTCCAGCCGGGATTCCTCTCTCACTATGATGGGCATTGGCTCTCAGCAGTCCTAGGCTCCCCTTGATCTCTCAGTCTAATTCAAAATCATTCTCTGGAGCCAAAATTGCTACCACTTCCAGGACTGAGTGGACACTGGAGTTTAGCTTTTCTAGCACCGCCAACTAAGGCAGACCCTCACAAAATGGCTTCCTGCCACAGTATTCTACTGAAAACCTGAGAAAAGCAGAACACTTCTGTCACAATGTGCGGCTTCTGTGTCAGCTAAGTTCAGTCTAATATTCTCTTCTTCTGCTATTTTCAAAGCAATCTTATCATTTTGCCTCTTTGTCTCCTTTCTGTGGCTTCCCTCCCTCCTCCCCTGTCTAGGCAGCACATGTGCAAGCTCATAACTGATTCTCTCTCACTGTCTGTTTCAGTAACCAGAATTTCTGAGTCTCTCCAAATCTGTCAGTTTACTGCTGATCCTCAGTGTGTTCCCTCAGATACCCACGTTGCTGTGTGGGTATTCTCTAGATGTTTTGATTTCAAACTGCAGACAAGTTGGAAAGCACAGCTGGGATCCCCTCTAAGATCCCCCATGTTGGGATTTTTCAAGGACAGCTGTGTCACCCTAAAGAGGGCCATTCTCAAGGCCTCAGTTTCCTCATCTGGACCAGTGTGAGTAGGACTTTGATTCTCTCCAGGAACGTGGACCCTTTCCTGACCTTAGCCCCCACTGGCCCCTGACTCACAGGGCACAGCCCTGTGTCTGACAAATCTCATGCTGGATCTGTGGTGTGAGGGTCTCCACTTTTCCTTCAGGCCCACTCATGTCCCCTCTCACACTGCATTGGAGAGGAAACTAAAAGAGTGAAATTTAGGGGCTGGGGTTGTAGCTTAGTGGTACAGCATTTGCCTAGCACACGTGAGGCTCTGGGTTCAATCCTCGGCACCACATAAAAAAAATAAATAGGGGCTGGGGATGTGGCTCAAGCGGTAGCGCGCTCGCCTGGCATGCGTGGGGCGCTGGGTTCCATCCTCAGCACCACATAAAAATAAAGATGTTGTGTCCACCAAAAAACTAAAAAAGAAATATTTAAAAATAAATAAATAAATAAAACAAAAACATCCCATTGATAAGGAAGGACACAAGGACAAGAGCGGGAGGGAAAGCTCCATCCCTGCCTCATCTCTCTGCAGCCTCCTTCCTAGGCTCCTGACCTGTGGCCCATGTGAACCAGTACCTGGCCCACCCTCCCTCTGGGGAGCCTCAGCAGCAGCCACCTGAGTCTCATTCCTGCCCTCCCTGTCTCCCCGTCTAGTGCAGGCTAAAGAAGCTGCCCTCAGGGCTCCCAGACCACAACCCACTCTTCAGGGTAGAAGCCCACATCCTGACTGGGAGCAGCTGCCATCCTAATTGACTTTTTCAGGAGCACAAGTGCCCACACCTTTGTGCCCAAGACCCATCAGGACACCAACCAGGAAAAGCAGGCACACAGACTCCAAAAGCCAGGTGGATTCTGGGAAGTGGCCAGGAGGCCTTGCCCCTTTGCTCCACACCACAGATGACACTACACGTGTACAGTCATCCCATGATGGAAAACACGCTGGACACACAG